GAATAATGTTTCCGCTAATACAATTGATATATCGCATATAGTGCAGTAGTAGTCATGTAATCACGGAGATACTAACAGCAGACACGTTTGACAACAAAACAATCAGTTAACGCTACCATCCTGCACGAACAGTTTCGACAAAGATAAGTATTTGTTCAACCACTGAATGATAAATAACACAGACAAGATTGATTACACACAACTTACCAGATTGGTGGCCGTTTAAATTTTTACAAAAATATCAACACAGGTTTATATAAATATCGGCACCTTAGCCACGGTGATTAATATCAATGGAAATATATAATCAATTATCTACAGTCTGACTGTGCATAGACTGATTTTATTTACTGTGGAGCAAGACACAGATGGGGATAATAAAATCAGCTGTTTTATGAATATATCGGCAATCATATAGCACAGTAAACCGACAATCCACTGAAATTATGCAAATTGTAATATATGTAAGTTTTAATGATCCAGTCATACTCAATCAATGTCAGAAAAACACAAACTAAGAAAGAGACATACATACCTAATTTTGACAGTTTCGCACCAGAAAGAGCTACCCCTACAAAATAGATTACATCTATTCACCTGAATAATTTGCATTGAAACAATGTGTATATTTGTACTTTATGTCAATCGGACAATTTAGGCTATTTTGTTGTCTTGAGTATCTTACCAGTAAAAAAATAGCATCATTCACTAGTACTATTATTGATTCTTGGGGGATACTGACTTTAGCCATCTGCCAAAATAAGAATCATACGCAACATTGGCTGACATATTTACTTTTCGATTTTAGAGAAAAAGGTTTGGTAATACATTTTGCTATAGTTTCTTCTTACACTATCAATGTGTCTCAATAGCATAAACACTAAACCCCTCCTTGTTAATGTGTGCATGTAAGCTAATTATGTACATCATTTGGTCTGTATAATTAAAACTGGATCATTATTTTCACGGCGGCGAGAATTTCACAAACACACATAACTGAATATCATATATCAAAACGTAACGTTACATTCTGAATGGTTGTAGAAAGATATCTCCTAAAACAACTGAATAAATTTGTTCTTTAAATTTATTTGGTAATGAATAGTCATTGAACACAATTTTCCCATGGCAGTGAGTTCCAGATCTTAACCAACATCTTACCAATTGGTGCTTCTTTGTTTCTAGTTTCCAAGGGAACCCTGACAAATTACTGAGATTCAATTGACGTTTTGAATTATAAATGAAAATTCATTCCAAAAATTGTTGTTTCCACAACAAGCAGATTCTAATCTCTTGTAACATTTAATGGATTGGTATGAAAGGCAATTGCCCATGAGTTTTCCGAAAATTTTGTTTCCATAGCAACCATATCTGTCTCTTAACCAAAATCTAAACAATTGGTCCGTATCAGGCCGACCCTTGTGGAAATGTCATGAGAATTCATAATGCAACCAGAAGAACATCACTACCAAATGTAATCCACTGGACCGTACGGTGTCAAGGGCACACCATCGTAAACAAAATCATGATAATCCATCAATAACCCTTCAAGTTGTAAATAAAATATCATTCTCGAAATTACAGTTTCCATGGTAGGTGGATCGACATCTCTACCAACATTCAACGGATTGATACTTGCATCAAAGACAATCTCTCCTGGCAATTCCATAAAAATCCATCTGTAACTTTTTGAGTTATAAATGAAAAATCATTTTTGAAATTGTTGTTTTGATGGTAACCGTATCAATTCATCAATAACTTTTTGAGTTAACCTTTTAACAGACAAACAACAAACAAAGCAACGATACCGAAACATAACCTCCTTGGAGGAGGTACATACATTTGTAAACTTAATCAGATGAAATATCGTTTTCGCAACAATAAATAGGTGAAACCCAGGATAACAAACTGTTGAAAATAAGACTCTCAAATGAGAACATTTGCACTGAAATCTCACTTATCTAAACGGAATTTTTTTGTGTGTGCAGCCGACTACACTTAAATCGTTTTTTCTACCAAATGGCCAATCGTTGTTGGGGATGCAGCTGTATGATGTTTCCCCACATAACAGATGAATGTTTGTTTAATGTCACATCTAATAGCACGTGTTTTATTGAAATACCCGAGTTGGCTGGACAGAGCAGTAATTGCTCCCTGTCCTCAATCCCAAAAATCTGCTATAATGAGGGGTAATAATGGGAGTTGTGTCAAATTCTGCTTTTTGATTCTTCAAGAGTGTCAATATTGTCAGACACTCGGCTAGAAAATTCTCTCTAGCTGACAACTGCTGGAGAGCCTCCAGTGTGTAATAGGAACAGCACTGGACTTATGGGGAGAACCCTGTGATTTTGCGTCAGAAGCGATGGGGTCACAGACATACTGACCTGGCTACCACTGAAGACAGGATGAGTGGAAACCATAGTCCCACTGGCCAATTCAATACGATTACATGCTGTCATTATTAGGCATTGCCAGTACTTTCTCTAGTACAGCTTGAATTATTAGGAATGATGGGAATGCATATAGAATCTGATTCACCCATGGTATCATCAGCTTATACATCGCATATGTGAGGGGATCCAGTAAGTAAGCACAAAGCGTACCTCTTGAGCTTGAAGTTTTTGAATTGAACAGGTTGATCAATAGCATTCCCCACAGAGCGAACGGTGATGTGATGAGATTCTAGCTGCATTTCCTTTCTGTTGCACCAGAGTTACAGTGATAAATCGATCTAAGGGTGGCTAGACACTGCTTGGACTACTAACACCTGAACTGAGATAACTCTGAAAGCCATAGTTGTCGGAGCTGTGCAATGGGAATAGAGGACAGTGAAACTGCTAAGTCTCCGAGTTGGAAACACTGCTCAGCCGAAATTAACCCATACACGTATAAAAATCTATTCCCAGAAATACTAATTTGTAGGGGATTTGAAACAACTTCTTTACAATAAAAAAAATGCAGATTGATTGTTTGAAGGACACTACACTTGCTCAGGCTTTGATCGATGCCTACTTGGTAACGCCCTGCTTCTACCTGCTGATAAATGTCAGTGAATTTACTAAGAGTGTCTCTGGTAATCTTGAACGCTCTCTCTGACCAATTCTAAGTGCTAGGACACTGTTTACTATCTTTATTCTTACATTTGAAAATAATATAACTGTAGATAGGGGTGCACAAACCCTTCTGGTGACTCTGGTGATTTTGGTAAGGCAATGTATGACTAAACTAGGCAAGATTTATGTTGCATTTCGATCTTTGGGGTTTCATCAGAATACAAAGTAATGCGTCTCTTGTGGGAAACACAAATCATATCAATGTACTTAACTGAACAACATTTGTAACTTGACCTACAATCAATCACCCTACAAACAATTTTAATAATCAAAAGCAATCTATGTTATAATGAAATGTTGTTAGAATAACTTTTATATTAAGTTTTTCAAGTATATATTTTTGTTCATCTTGTTCACGTATGCATAATACCAAGGACTCATCCGAGTTGATAAGCCATCTATAGAGTTTAACCTGTGTATCTTTGGTAATGTCGAGTTGATAAGCCATCTATCGATATAGAGCAAGACCACTAATCAGGCATGTCACATATCACCAGTTCCTGACAAAGCTTTATATTTAAGACGAAATGTTGAATTAAAAGTTGTCGATCTTTTGAAAAAAACAACAAGCTTAGTAGTGTGTACTTATTATTCATTGCTTCTTTATCTCTTCCACTCTACATGCCACTTGCAATGAACCTGCGCAACCGAATACAATTTACTACTGTTGAGTTAACTGATGTATCTGTAGTGATGCTGAGTTGATGTGCCATCTATCTGCAGTCATTTTGCTTTTGTTTTTCTGGATGTCCATTCATTGGATGGCTGCCTGGAACGGCTAACTTCAGTCATCAAAGGATGTAACATTTATCGCATAGGGTGTGCATGATTGAAATATAGCTCATAGTTGTGTTGTTATAATAGTTCTAAAACTTGTCATATGCCAACAAATATATCATCCCATAGCCCAGAAAAGCACAGAAGGAAAATTGGCCATGTGACTTGCATCTACACCTTAGTGAGACTTTGGTTTAATCCACTTGCATGACCATATCCAGGTATCCTGATGTAATTAAATGCATAGGCATGTCCAAACCAGGTTTTTCTTTCCAACAAATAATACTAGTATTGGGTGGACAGACATAATGCAATTCCTGGGCTGTATCTGACCCAGGTTTACTCTCTTTAATCAATGACATGTCTGGGCAGTGTCTAAGCCAGATTTTCTCCTCAAGCTTGGGTGGCCAGATGTAATGCAATTTTGGGTTGTTCTCCCCTCAAACCAATTACTGGGGTAACCAGATTTAATGCAAAGTCTGGTATGTGTCCAAGCCAGGCTTTCCTCTCAAACCTTATTGGTTTGGCCAGATGTGAAGCACCTAATGATAATATCAAAATGGTCATCAAGCGATGATTCACAACACCAAAGTTTAGAGAGGAAATATGTGATGCACAAGAAAACAGCGTCTTCACACTAGTAGAATTAGTTGAGTGAGATCTACTAAAGAGAAATAATCATTTGCTGGTAAATCACTTCATTCTCAGAAGTCTCAATACACAAGGAATATCCTTCCACTTAAATCCCCTAAATATCTGCTCTCTAAATAGCTCCATATAGAATATTCTCTGGTGTGAACATCCGAGCATTTTCACCGCCTAGCAACCACAGTGAATAGTAAAAACTCTCAAAAAATTGACTTTGAGCTAGTTGTTGAGACTCTCCTGAACAGTGTAACAAGACTACCCCTCCATGTGCAACATATATAAATTAGGTTGTTCAGGATTGTCTCATAGTTGAGTTTGTGCTGCTTTTATTGGCTATTTGACCAGCGATTCACAGCATGTTACATTGGTGCGCGTCTTAGAAATATAGAATGTTCTGTAATTTTACTCTGCTCTCAAGAATAGCAAAATATACGCTAATCTACGAGTAGTAAAACACTTGAATACAGCAGTATAAATAACACTTTATTTTTAAAATAATGAGAAACAACCTGCTTTAGGTAATCATGACAGACCTTCCATAGGCTCCATCACAGAGGCATAATGCAATTGTAGTATACCTTGTTGTAATTTTAAGACACCCCTTCAAGTTCCTGGAAATAGAAAATTTGAAATAAATAATGAATACCATGATACACAAGGCTTACTTCACTGAAAGATTACTGTCTGAGATATTTACTAAAATTATGTATATATTAACAAAATTTAACAAAGTACCAGATGTATGTTTGTGTACATCATACAGTGAAAGTTTTGTCAGAGACGCGCAACGCTGAGAACAATGCATAATTGTACGATGTACAAAGACATAAATTATGGTAATTTGTTAATAACCTTTATTGTTATTATACATGTTTTTCAACAGATGTAGAAAGGAATGGGTCAACTAAACTATTGGTTTCACCACAGACGTCGTCAGGGATGTTTTCAAAATGGAACGCAGCATGTGTGCACACACTCCATTGACAGAAAATCTGATCTGATCAAAGACTTGCACACGTATTGGTGCTGTCATCATAACTAATATTTTCAGAAAGATTATTGCACATGGTAGTGACCAAGAGACCTTGACAATCAATGGCCAGTGTACAGACACCTTGACGGAAGTCGTTGACTTCATGACGAACCACTGCCAACATTTTACACGTTCATACACATCGTCCGAATCGCACGGTCCTGTGTCTTCGACCTATAGGCCTCTACACGATACCGTGCGGGATCGCATAGGCTAATTGCGTATCTTAAGCAGTGAGATGTGATTGGGCACACCTTGAAGCAAGGCGCCCAATCAGCTTGGACGTACTAAATTATAAAATAAAATTCCACTTCCTGTTTTTGTCGCTATGAAGACATCCTTCCCACACAAAACTGCGTCGATTGCCTGTACCTGATGAGGCTTGAGGGCACCAACATCGAAAACTTTCGCAATTTTATCATCACAAATATCACGCCGCCAATATTGTTTAAAAAGAAACGCCAAAGAAGGATTTGTAACACGCAAACTGATTGGACAATGATTAGCTGCAACTGATTACTGGGGGCGCTGATAGAATACGCATATTTGATGGACGTTCTGCCAAGGTCTGTTTAGAGGCTTGGCTGAATAAACTTAGATTTTGGCTAGTGAGGGTGGTTCATACAAGGTTACGTGAAATATCCATATTATATCTGAATGCAAACAAATATTTTTTCAAATCAAAGTTAGCCTAATTAATGAGTGTTTTTTAACAGTTCCATTGATCTGCTGAAGAGGTCAAAGTGAATCCATTAATGTTGTAAATTTGCATGGTTATTGAATGCTCGTAACCAGGAATTATTGTATTCAGAAACTTCATAATTTACAGAAGTAGATTTATAATAATAAGTATTATAAGCATATGATGTACGAGGACATATATTCCAGTATTTTGTTAATAACATAATTATTATACATTATTTTGAACAGATGTTGTGACGTCAGCTAAACCAAAATGTTTTCAGATTTAATCATAGCCGTATCCACTCTCTCATCGTTTTCTGCAAGCTAGACTATCTAGCACAGATCCACACATAATTCCATTTAAGAAACAATCAAATTGAATTTTAGAAAACTGAATATTGATATATTGCCGGAATTTGTTTTTATATCAATACAAAGTTCTACAAAATAGTTTGGATTATTATAATATAATAATTATTAGGTGCAGATACTGAAAATTATTGTATTACAGTATACATAGCATTGATATTACAACCATGACCGTTGAGAATCTAAATATTAAATAACTCAAAATTCAGGATTTATACAACTAACGATGCACCTGCTACAGGGTACAATTTTTTTTTTCCATGCAAAAATTTTGAATAACAAGCCATGCATGGCACAGTCCCCGTTAGTTATCAAATTTAAGATATATAGTTTTGTTTATAGCTGGAATATAACCATGTCAGGAATATGCTTTTTTTAACATTAAAATGATTGACATTTGTATCTGATTGTCAAACAAGTACTTGTCCATATTGAGAGATATTGCTCTGGAACAGCATTCAAAATCAGCCATTTTGAATACATGTATAAATATAACATGATGTATAACGAATATATAAAATTTAAATACAACAAGTCAAAGCATTTAAGAGATATGGCTCTAGAAGCCCAATTATTAAAACAAAATGGCCGCCAGTTAGCC